CGGCTGTATCACGCTTAATCGGATATCAGAACTTTACACCATATCGACGCGTGAGACGAGCAAGTCGTCTCAGAAAACTAATTTCAGCTGTCTGTACCCGGTATCGAAATTTGTCATTCATGGCCCACGAATCGTGACCGTACATAATCAGAGGGATGAATACTGACCTGAATATCGAGAGCTCACTCATCAGACTCAGCTCTGCTTTAGTCACAATGGTTCGAGCTAATTCCCGTAGAACTCCACTGGCTACTTCAATTCGCTGGTCGATCTCTTCCTCAAATTTTCCATCACTACTAAATACGACACCGAGGTACTTTAACTTCTCCACCTGCTCCACTGCTTCTCCGTTGATCTGAGGACAACGGGCAGGAGGACGAGAAAGCACTAACCTTTCCGTCTTAGATGCGCTCAAGTGCATACCGGTCAAGTCGCACTTGGTTACGAACCTTTCTATGGAGCACTGGAGATCAGTTTCGGAAGATGCTAATAAAACAAGGTCGTCTGCAAACAGCAACACTCTTGACTTCACATCTCCTACACCGATACCCTCATCGCCTTGGCAGCTCCTGACTATTCTGTCCATGTACAACATTAATACGATAGGGGACAGGGCGCAGTCTTGGCGGAGACCAGTGCGAACGTTGAATGGTTTCGACTTACCGCCACTTACTCTGACGCAGCACCAATATAGTGACTGAATGGCCTGTAACAGCTGGCCAACGATCCTATATGTTCGCAGGCATGTCAACAGGCTGTTGCGCGGGATCAGGTCATAAGCTTTCTCTGGTTCAACAAAGCAAATGTACACCGGATGGGCGAACTCCTACGAATCTGGCGTACGGCGAATATACGGTTAGATATGTTTCGGCTGTACCGGAAGCCACACTGCATTTCTTACATCTTGAAGTCAATTATTCCATGGCACCTTTCTAGCACATTTGTGTAGACTTTACCTGGGACGCTCAATTAGGTAATGCCCCGATAACTGGAGCACTGAGCACTCCGTGTTGTCTACCATCCTGAACAAGGGCACAACAACCCACGTTCTCTAGTCCGCGGGTGTCATAGCCGTAGCCATTGCAGTTTGACAGTTATGTGCAAGTCAGCACATGCGTTGTTCGCCCAATGCTTTAAGCATTTCAGGGCGGCTTTCGTCAATTCCAGCAGCCTTTCCACTTTTCAAACTTTTCACAGCATGCGTAATTTCATCTACAGAAATAGTAATATCCGTTCCGTGCTGCTCTACAAGCGGATCTTCCTGCTCGGGGTTAAGCAGTTCCTCAAAGTACTCTCTCCATCGCCGAAGGATGTCCTTATCCTCGGTAAGAGGGTGCCCATTCCTATCCTTCAAGACTGTTAGACTGCTCTTTTTATCATCTCGGACCCGGCGAATCGTCTGCTAGAATACCTTGTTTGCATGTGGAAATTCGACGCCAACTTCTCCCAGGAACCAACCCTGCTTTCGCTGCCGTTCTGCGTGCTTCGGCATATCGCACGCGAGTAGAAGGCTTTTTGTTTCGCAGCCATTTCTTGAATGCAGCCTTCATGTCTTTAACTGTCAGGCGCAGGCAAGGCAGTATCGGTGTAGAAGATGCGAAGACGAGAAGGTCGCTGTCTGCATACGACCCTGTTTTATTGTCATCTGCTGAAACTGATCTACCGTGCTCTCTAGAAAGGTTCGCAGCCGAGAGGGACGTGACCGGCATGCATGTGAACGCATCTAAAACGAAAAGCATTGTGCTTTCTCGTTCTCCTGCCCGTTGCTCTCTTCAGATTAACGTTGAGGCAGTGGAGCAGGTGGAGAATTTTAATTACCTCGGAAATGTATTTACTAGTGATGGAAAATAGGAGGAAGATATCGACCGGCAAATTGGAGTAGCCATTGCGTTCTGCGTGAAATAGCCTGACCGATTGTGACTAAAGCAGAGCTGAGTCCGAAGACTAAGTTCTCGACATTCAAGTCGATATTCATTGCTATGCTTATTTACGGTCATGAGTCGTGGGCAATAAAGGAAAAACTTCGATCCTGGGCACAAGTTGCTGAAATTGCCTTTCAGAGACGATTCGCTGGCCTTATGCGTCTCGAGATGGTCCGGAATACAGACATCCGCGAGAGCCTTGGTATACAGCCGCTGCTTCTTCAGACTGAGAAGTCACAGCTACGATGGCTGGGGCATGTGTTGCGAAAGTCTCCAGAAAGGAACGCTAAGCAACTGTTTCTTACCCAACCGACAGACAGAAGGCCCAGGTGACGGCTAAGATTATTCTGGTGCAAAAATATGGAATGAGTCTGCTCCAGACTCCATTTGTCTTTTGCCGAAACTCAGACTCTGGCAGGATCGGGAACTTTGGAAGCTCTGTCTGACGCGCCTGCCTTCGACCCCAAAGGAGAAGCGGTCATGGAAGATGAAGAAAAAGAAATGAAGATTGGAAATTAAGGTCTAGAAAACTACGGAGTAATGTTTTTTTCTCATCCACCTGCTCCATGGCATGGTTAGCATAACTGGCAATGGCGAGTTATGTGATTAACTCTTTCTGCGCCT